CTGTTATGGCCAATGTGTAACTTTTCGTTTATAAGCAGGAAAAATTAACATTATCCGGATAATGTTAACCTTAATCGGTCAATATTGGACAATGTTAAAAATTATATATTAAATAGACTATAGAGTTTTTATTAGCTTTCTAAACAATAACAAAGCGTCGGACTTCCAGTGTATAATATCTTATATTGACTAGTAACCGAGTCAGTCGGTTATCTTACCGATAAGGTGAACAATATATCGATGTATCGATGTAAAAATGCAAATCGTCTAGCATTTTGAGCAATTCAAAATGTCACGGAAGCATGCCATGTAATAAATAATAAAGGTTAAAACATTAGCATTTTAATTCTATAGGTACATAAAATAATATTTTAAGAAATAATTTATAATATAAAATAAAAATTCAACATTGTATCATTAATAGGTTAGATTATTAAAAACAAAAAATAAATTCATATCAATAAGTTCTTGGCTAATATCATATTATCCGGTTAATGTTAACATTTAACAATATTCACGGCGGGTAATAATAACAGTTGGCTAATGTTGACTTTAGCCGGATAACGTCGACATTATCCATATGTTAACATTACCCGTAAAATGTATATATATATATATATGATTGGATAGGAGCGTAAAAGTATACTTCGCTTGAGGGACGAGGCGCATTGTAAGTTGAGCGATGATTCCATTGCACTCAGGGGCAATTTCAACGGAAAACCATTTCATCGTACGCTTCGTAATCGACGGATAGCAGTGTTTACGTTTTCCCGGAGGTGTGCAACAGTATATTATATAATACAGCCCCGCGGAGTCGATATTTAGCTATCGGTATTCATTGCTGGAATAGAGGGAAAAAAAATTCGTATTCGAATAAAAAACAAATAGGCGGTTTAGACACGGTTTCGAGGGACAGAGGAAGGGAGTGACGATAAGTGAAATCGATCTGCTAAGGGCACGGAGTCCGATGTTCGTCGGGGCCCGGCACTAAACGCTGCGCGCATCAACACGCTGCAGAGTTTAGGGCGCAGCACAAGAGGTGCGTAGTGTAAAAACATTTATGCGTCCAGCGCAGCTGCTGCGCCCGGTCGTCTTTGGAACGGGCGAAAAAGAATAATTGATAATAATAACGGCACAACGTTACGGAGGAACGCGTTCGGTTTTCGCTCGTTCTCGCGTACAAGCCCAAGCGCAACTGCGCAACAACAATTGGTCCGATGTGTCGTTAATACGTATCGAAAACGATCACGCGTCGCGTGTTACCGCCGGTCGCGGCGAAAGGGTCAGAGACCGAAAGGAGCGCAGGAAGGCCGTGAAAATATTCAAGTATAGCGTGCGCGATCGTCGTCACAGCACGCGAAAAACGATTATACCGTCGTGTACACGCCTTGCACGTGTTGCGCGAAGATTACGGACAAATTTTCAGTTTTTTTTTTTTTTTTACGGCGCGAACGATTTTTTTCTTTCTTCGTAACGGACGGACGGGCGCCAGCTCCACGACTCGGCTACCCCGCACTCCAAGCTATTGTTATGAAAGTGTACCGATGTTATGTGGTAGTAAACGCATTTTCGCGATTCAAATCGGCTGTAACAGGACGAGAGCCGGTGGACAGGGTATGATGCACGGATCCTGCCCTACGACTTTGCTGTACCGTAACGCGCGGCCGCGCCTCGTATAGTATTTACTATTCGCGTTGAACATCACACGGTGGAAGGAGGAAAACCCGTCACGGCGATTTCACTCGGCCGACGAATTAAATGCATCGTTCGTCCTGCAGTCCCGGTCGGTTCCTGTCGCGGATCATCTTGGACCCCGTCAAACGATCGGTCGCAACATACTCGCTACGCTCGGGCGTAATTACGAGAGAAAAAAAATATTGTCGAGAAAACGACGCGCGCTGCGAATAAACCGATCGCGCGTTTAATATACGCACACGCCATTCCATGCGCGTTATCATTTTGAAATATTTATTTTTGATCTTCGTTTTTTTTTGGCACGATCAAAGAATACACGCGGAATGCGAGTGTGCTCCGTGTGATCTGCCGCAACAAGGAGACGACCCCGCAACACCGCAATGACAAATTCAATTGTACGCGCTGACGTGGTCGACGGTAAAAAAAAAGGGTGCGCGCCACGCGTAATCTATTCGTTCGTAGATCCGATAAATAAATATTTTTAGAAGGGAGTGCAACGCGTAAACGTCTAATTACCGTGTGTGTTGCACGCGGTACCGTAAAACTACGCATTACGTGCAATAGAAAAAAAAAGAATGTTTCGATTTGGCGCCCAGGATTAGGCGCGTCAACGAACAACGTAGTTTCGAAAAGAAAATGAAAATAAACGTCTTGTCTACGAAGAACGTTTTGGGAACTATGTAGTCTCCTACGTGTAACACTTAATCGAATGACGTTTATTTTTTCTACCAATTCCGCGTCCATTGACGTTTAAACCTATTCTCGTCAGCGATGAACGAATAGCGATGTTTGAGGCGTTTCACCGACGATTAAATACAATTATTCGAACTCACGTGTTCCGCGTCAAAACGGTGCGATCGGTCGCGCGACCTATGCACCGATGCCACCGCGATGAGATGTTCTTTACCAATATCATTACGATTGTAAAACAATGCGGCTAGAATTTTTTTTTTTTTTTTTAAAACGTTTACTTACGTATGATGACTCAACGCCTAAATAGTTGTCACATCGTTACCGCGTTCGGTCGTTTTTTTTTATTTCACCACACTGCTGATGTTAACATTTTTTATTGTACAATGCTTTTCTGGTAAAACAATTATTTTCCTCGTCTACTCCGTCGCGAGATCAGACCGAATATTATCTATACAACCCATGCGCGGTGGTCATCGACCAATTGACCATCGCGGACGGTTCGCAGCACATCTGGTTGCGTCGCCGGTTGTACGAGAAATGAACATCCAACGGAACAATAGAAACAGTGGTAATAATAATAATATAAATAGGAAAGTAAAGAGAGAAAAAAAACAATCCATTAACAATTATATAAATATAATTTTAAGATATAAAAAAAAGATTACACTTTTATATAATGTAATATTTTATCGTTTTGTACATACACGCGAATGTTTTATTTTTTTCAATATATATATATATATATAAATATTTATATATGTATAATGTATTTATTACTTAAACGCGATGCACAAATAAAAAAAGGATTTAACTTCTTAACATCATTATACTGATTTACTTCAAACAATAGGTACAGTACGTAAGTCTACCTATAATAATGTAAAATGAGTAAATCTATATACAACACTTTATGGTACATTAATATGTACATAATAATAATAATAATAATATATAATAAACCAACTAATAATAAGTATATAAAATAGCGGTATGAAAGTACAGGGGGGGATATTTAATCATATAGTTGTAACGCTATTACATATAATATAGAAAACAATATAATAATTATAAAGCGAATAATATATAAAGACCTTGTATTTTTTTCTGTTTTTTTTTTTTAATTTTTTTTTATTAATTTCTTAATTATCTTAATACATATAAATATACACAGAATATGTATAATATATATCTTTGTATAAGTATATATGTATTTTACACTTGTAATAATAAAAAAATGAATAAACATGACTATAATCTTTGCACTTGGATATCATTTAAGGGCTAATATTAGGAAAAAAAAACCAAGTCATTATTATAAAACAATCTATATAAATGCTTTATCGAACAAGACATATTGTGTATTAATAACATTCAGAAAGTTGCGGAAGTTATATAAAAAAAAAAAAATAATTTTTTTTTTCTTTGAGATCATATATAATCATGGTGGTTTTTATACAGTACAAAATGACTTGGGGGATTCATATGGTAAAAATGATACAAACACCACCGTATCCGCGCGCCCTAACTTTTTTTTCGTTTATGTACATGGTATTTTCTTTTTGTACACGATTTGTTATTATCATATTAGGTAAAATTGAACTTACTAGTATTTTTTTTTTCTATGCACTTTAATAAAATACAGATAAATTTAATTACGCTTATTATGTGTAAGTATCTAGCCAAAGCATAAAAAAAATAAGACATTAAAAAAAATTTCTCTTTCTAATTCGGACACATGATTTTCAATATATATATATACATTGTATGTACATATAGATTATCAATTTTTTTTTCTTGCCTTTTTTCACAATGAATTTAAATGGAAGCAGCCTATACTTAATAACACTTCAGCAACAGTATAATTATTATTATGGTACAATGTGATAATGATGAATATATATAAAATGCTTAAAAAATGTTCACACTCGAGAGTAAAAATAAAAAACAGCGTTCAAAGAAATTGCAAAGTGAATATTATTAAAATTTCAACGACAGATGTTACTACGAAACAATGTTTCGTAAACGTTGTTAATAATTGCGATTCGAATTCAGAAAGCAATTCAAGTAATATGTACTTGCATGAATACGACTTGAAAATAATAAACATCGAGAAATCGCTAAATTTTGTTGAATTTTCAATGTTTATAAAAGCGAATTTTTTAAAAGGCAATATGTTTTTATACTGCATATATATATATATATATATATATATATGTATATATACAAACACGTTAGATTTTTACACAGAAAAAAAAAGAATAAATTTTCACTGTCCACATTTGTAACAGTGGTCATATTAAAGTGGCAGTCACAGTAGTAGTGTAGTGGTAGTACAAGACGCATACCAAACGGACGTGAAAACTAACCGAGTGGTGATTTATATTACTCCACAAACGCGATTTTTTTTTTATTATAAATGAAGTTTATTAAAAATTATTTTTTGTACGCGATATATTTACTTGTGGACTACGGCGAAAGAAAAAGAAAACGTAATATGTATATAAATAAATTAACTTTTAGAAAAAAGAAAATAATAATAGTAATAATAATAATAATGATAATAATATAATTATTAATAATAATAATAATAATAATAATAGTTATAATAATATTAATAATAATAATAATAATAATAATAATAATAACCAATCACAGAGTACCTGCTTTTTCATAATGTTTGTGAGTGTGTATGTGTTTATGTGTATGCGTGTATATATATGGAGACGACGCAGGCGAAGGACGACACGACGTGGGGCGGCGCTGGAGAAGATGTTTCCAGCGGAAGCGGCGGCTGCAATGTCCTCGTAAAAACTTCTCTTCTCGGTGCGGCTGCTGCTGTCGGCTCGCTTCGCTTAATTGTTGTTGAACCGGCTGAGCGGACCGTCTTCGCCCCAGTCGGCGGCCACGCCCATGTTGGACAGTATGTCGGTCATGTCGGACGGGCACGAGAACTCGAGGTGCGAGCTCTGCCGAATGTTCACGTTGTCCAGATCGGTGGACAGCGATTCGATGTCCATCATCTTCAACTGGTCGATCTCGATCAGGTTGACCAAGTGGTCGATGTCGTCCAGCAGGGTCGACGGGTCGGCACCTTCGCGGCCGCCGAGCGCGGCCGTCTCGGACGACTCGCAGCAGTCCATGGGCTCGCGTTTCACGAAGTACGACGGGGACGCGCCGGACGAGAGCGGCTCGGCCTTGACCAGCAGATGGTCGTCTTTCATGAGGCTGCGCGCGATCAGGTCGACGGTGGACGAGGAATGCTGGTCCAGCTGCTGGTCCATCTGGTGGTCGGACATGAGCGACACGGCCGACCCGGGGCTGAGCAACATGCCGGCGCCGCGGCCGTCGCAGTCGTCGTCGTCTTCGTCGTCCATCAGGTGGTCGGCGGGCACGGGGCAGAGACCGGCGCCGGGCGGCAGTACCGTGATCGTGGCCGACGAGTTCAGCGAGTTCAGCAGTTTGAATTTCAGCGGCTTGACGTCGAAGCACGCGGACGACTCGTCGTAGAAAGTCGCGCTCTCCGGCGAGTTGGGCAAGTCGCACGTCGGGCTGGTCGGCACCTTGGCGTGAACGGACGCGGGCATCATGCGCACGTCCGCGGCGGCAGTGACGACGCCCTTTGTCGCCGCGGCACCGGCGCCGCCCTTGGTCGAGTCGATGGTGAAGTGGTATTTGAGTCGGTCCGTGTTCACCGGGCTCAGTCGGTTCACCTGTATGATGCCGTTGCGGCGGACGAAAGATTTCGAGTCCGAAGCGGTGGCGGACGACGACGAAGCCGAGCACGACGACGACGTCGAAGACACGACGGACAGCGACGGGGAGCGAGGCGAAGACGTCGACGAGGACACCACGCTGGCCCTGCCGCCGATGTTCTCGACCACGTGCACCGTGCCGGAAGTGAGCGTGGACGCGAGTCGACCGGCCCCGGCCCCGGTGCCGCCGTACTTCTTGCTGACGTTCTTGCGCAGCTTGGACTGGTTCGCGGCCGCGGACGTGGCCTTGGTGATGGCCGATCCGCCGTTCTTGGGCGTCCTCTTGCGCGGCCTGTACTTGTAGTTCGGGTACTGCTTCATGTGGTACACCCTGAGCCGTTCCGCCTCGTCCACGAACGGTTTGCGCTCGGTCAGGTTCAGCAGCTTCCAGAGCGCGCCCAATCTTTTCGAGATCTCCGCGTTGTGCATGTCCGGGTACTTTTTGCATATCTTGCGTCTCTCCATCTGCGACCATACCATGAACGCGTTCATCGGCCGTTTAATGTGATTCGGATTGTTCTTTTTCGTCTACGGAAAAAACAAAACAGAAAACGCACGTGATAAGTAAAACACATATGGGTCGTACATCATTTTACTCAAACACGCCGCGGCTAAGAAAGTAAAACAATAGTAATACGACGCACGGTTTTTGGTGCGGAGTAATTTTTTTCAACAACATTAAATAATCATATACATTATATACGTAATAGGTATATAGTAACAAATGTGCGCACGTCAATCGGCAATAATAATAATAATATTCGTTGGCAAAACGCGTGATATTGGAGAAAGAACATAAAATAAAAAATTAAAACAATGTTAAAACAAAAAAGAAACGCTATAAATACACCATACGATGTATTCGTACGCGATTCATAAGGTGGCAATACAGTAATAATAATAATATTGCCAATGCAACATACGAGTGTGTGCGTGTGAGTGTACGTGTAGTAGTAGTCGTAGTAGTAGTAGTAGTAATTATAGTACCTGGGCGGCGGCGGCGGCGGCGGTTACTTTCACTGTCAAGGCGTCGCGCGCACGGTGCTGGGGTCGACGGCGGGGTGGCGGTGGCGTTGTGTAACTCAAGGTCATTAACGAGGCTCGTACACACGCGCAAGTCCGCCCGCCAATACGTCGGCGACAACCTCTCGCGCGTTTTCCCCCCACCCACCCCTCCGACCATCGAGCGAACGCGGGCGGGCACGCGGAAAAGGCGAATGACTCATTGCGTACGCGCACACACACGCACGCAGCAACCTTCGGATGGGGCAACCACCTGTCTATCGGTACGCGCGTCGCGACATCCCCCCCCACCATTCCGTCACCGCAGCACTCTGAAATATTAACGACGGATCGTCTCATCCGTCGTCTTCACGCGGACGGGAAAGTCGGAAAGAAAAACAATCGAATCATCGGAAAAAGATTACACTCTCTAAGCGCGCTCCGAACAACTAGATCGAATTAATATTAGAAGCGATCGATAAAAACCGATTATGGTGTTAAGATTCTAAACGCATAAACTGAACCGAAGAAAACAAAATTGGTCGAACGTTTCAAATGTATTATTTGAAATATTGAAACGTACGAACGATAAGAATATAAATAGTACCGATTGCACACGGTTTGGTTCTCCGAAAATCGGAGAAATCACGCGATAAATGTATATAGACGAATTTTAAGAGGCAATAGAAGTTTTTAAAGCGTCGCGGTCGAGGAAGGGCACGACGACGCCCGACTGAAATTTCAAAAAGATACGTTATTTTGATCTTCCAGCGAGAATGAAAAATAAATTTCACGATATCGTAAGCAATTCGACTACTGGTACAAACATACTCGCTCAGTACCACTGATGTACGTGATCAACGTACTCGATACCGAAAATTAATAACAGAAAAATAAAAACACGATTTTATCCTTAACCTCGAGCGGTGTTTTGCCAAATAAATTATAAATACTATTGGCCGGAAATAATAAATTTTATTTATGTATATTTTAACATTTATACTTTATTAGAATAGTAAAATTATTTTTAATTGGTTTTTTGCGCGATTTTGCGTCAACCATTTCGAGTTAAATGTGCTTCAGAATGATAAAATAACAAAATAAAAATTAAAAATTTAAAAAAAATATAAGTTTTATTAACTATTTAAATAAATCCACTTGATATTTATTATTAGATTTTAAAATGAAACTTTTCTATCTCTAAATTTTTTTTATGCCAGGCAAAGGGGTTGGGTACTATACTGCTATGTACGATAAAGACCTTGGGTCTAGCTACAAATTTCTAACACTCACGGAAAAGATTATAGATCACATTCAAGAAGTAACTTCCGGGTTAATGTTTACACATCGAAATAAATATTATTAGATTAAAATATTTTTAAAATTTAAGTATGCATTTATGTTCACTTTTAAAATTTAGAAGTATTATTATTTATGGTTTTTTTTTAATTATGTGTGTTAGTACCGAAATTCCAAAGAATCATTCCAAACTGAAAATATTGAAATATGATCTACCTTTTATATAAATATTATTAAATTATTTATGAATTACACACTAACATTAAAAAATATAGATAAGTAGGTAGTTTTACATTTAATAGAGAATTATTATAAAACAAAAATGAATATAGAAGAAGTTTGTGAATTTATTCATTTGTAGTTACGCATTAATAAATAAAAATATTGCAGGTAAAAATATGATTTTTTATTTATTAAAAAAAAAAAAATTTAAGCATCGGGGGAACAGTATTTTTAGATAACACGATTCGCAGATAACGATTGTGTGAATTTCAAAGTTAAACAAAAACGAAATAATTGGGTCAAATCATAGAGGAATTTTTTTTTATGCGAGAAGACTCGTGAAATTTGAAGATTAAAAATGTTTTTTAATCTGTAAATAATTCAATTTGGAGAAAATTAGGCAAAAAAAAAAAAATTAAAAATTTGAACTTTATGTTATTTCGACAGTAAAAATATATAATTTAACACCTTTAAAACAAATTAAGCCCCGCCGCCGAGAAACACATCACACTCACAAAATCTATTTTTGTTGATCACTTTTTTAAAAAATTGTGGAAAAAAATATTAAAACCGTAAAATAAATTGGCACACACCTGTGTTGCGTCCGTGTACGGCGTCGTCGAGTTTTCGTCGACCATCTGTGAACCGAATTGCGGCGATTCAGACTTGATATCCGACGAGTCGGCTTGGCCGAGATTCTCTTGCTTAGGCACCATGATTGTTAAATTTTAATTTTATCGGACGACGAAAAAAAAAAAATGTACGACTATAAAATATTTATAGTCGGACTGGTTCGCGCGGCGTTTTCGGTGATCACCACGTGCCGCACGAGTAGTCGGACGGAAAAAAATTTCAGTCGACACAAGTCTCGAGGAAAAAAAAATTTATTATTTTTATTCGGGATGAACAAAAAATAAAAAAAGTTACCGTCGAAACATCGTCGGGGTAAAGAAAAACAGAACTAAAAAAAAAAAAAAAAAAAAATAAAAAAATGTTTTTTAATTATTTTTCACTGAGTGCGCGCGCGATAACTCGGGTCGAAAAAAAAAATAATAATAATAATATTAAGTTCGTTTCGGTCAACACAGTACAAGTGTATTGTAAAATATCGTAACGATATATTATTGTTAATGAAAATGGTATCGCGTTCACATTCGCACGAGGACGCAATGTACGACGAGACACCGGAGAGAGTACAAGACCACCGTCGGTCAACGCGCGCGATCACACACTGAACGCGAGTCTCGGGCGAGCGATGAAAACAACAACAAACACTTCACCGGTAGTGCAGTGGTCGCGGTGCGCTGCTGCTGGTGGCGATGATGGCGGCGGTGGTGGTGGTGGTGGTGGTGGTGGTGGTGGTCGACAACGATTGTGCTGCTGCCCTCGGTCGGCTGCGGTGAACGTGACGACGATGATCGCATGTCGTGCACGACGGCGAGACTGCGAACGACTGACTGGCGCGCGAACACGGGACGCGGGCGGCGGCACGTTCGACCGTACTCGTAGGGAACACGCACGCGCACGCGCGGTACACGAACAGTAGATGCGCGGGCGGGAGAGGTACGTGCGGGACGGTGACGCCGAACCGGTGCGTGCGAGCGAGCGTGGCGTACTGACGGCGGCGGCCGACGGGCTCTGACACCGGCCTCGGCAGTCTCCGCCACCGACGGACCCCTTCCCCGCTCGCCCGACGCGCGACACCGAACGTCGCCACGACCAGCGCCTCGGCCGCCGCCGCCGCCGCCGCGTTAATATTACCATCGTTTTCATTACGGCAGCGCTGCCCGGCGGAATCTCGTACGACTACGTTTTCCATCGAAGTTGGGGGTGCTGAAATTGCTGAAAACAAGTGTTTCACTGTAATCACCAGGGCTCGGAAGTTGATGACCTTAAAAACATTAAAAAATTACCTATAAAAATATGCAAGTATGACATAAAAAAAAAAAATGACAAAAAAATGTACCTAGAAGATGAATTAAATAATTACAAATATTTGTTTTAAACTAATGAAAATATAGTTTTTTTAAATATTTAATTCTATTTTACTATAACATTCTATATAAATTTATCAAAACTTACAAATGTCCTTAAAATATGAAACAAAAAAATGATAAATATTTGTTTTATAAATTTATCAAAGCTTACAAATTATTCAAAAATCAAAATCATTGCATTGTGTGATTAGAGCGTATTTGATGTTATCAAAAGTAAATTAATGACGATTATCTGTTTATAAATATTTAAACTTGGAAAAATTTCTCTCCACGTCTACTGAAGTGATTAGGAGACGCAGACGAGCACTAACCGACGTTTCAATTTTCATTTTCATTCATTGGTTATCAAAAACCCTATTACGCCCCCTAGTTGCGCCTACGCATAGACTGTTAGAGTAGGGCCAGTGCTTGGAAAGTTCTTTTCCTCGTTCATAAACAAGGAACATTTGTTCGTTCTTCAAAACGAAATTCGTATTGTCAAACGGTTTTTCCAACCATTAACCTATATCTCACCGATAAGGCCGCTGCAACAGAATCAGGCCCGTAGCCAGGCCGAATCTTCAGGTGGGGCAAACAAAATTGTAGGGAGGCATTAGAAAAAAATCAATATTAATGCTATTTTTAATTTATTAATACTGTAATTTTTATAATAGGTACTTTAAATTAAAATAATAAGAATTAGAATAAAGTGAACATAATTACATTTTGAATATTTTTATATTATTTTTTGAATTTACCAGTTTTTTTTAAACTAAAACAGTTGTAATTTTCTATCTTTTTGCTTGTTGAATCCATTAATAATATATCCAAATTTAGAATTTTAGGATCTAATGAAATTGTGAATGTTATCGGTTGGTTCGATATGTTATATTTATTGTTCGGTGTTGTCGTCAGACATAATCAGATGCCATCGTATTTTCCAGTGCAAATGCTATACAATATTGCTAAAAATAATTTCTTATATTAAACAGTGCTTCTACTGCCGATGAAATTATTATCAAGCAATAAATTATATTATATTTAACTACCACGGCTGTAGATAGTAAGAACCTACTATCTACATTCATGCTAACTACTAAATTTCATGACATTATTAACTTTTGTTGGGGGGGGGGGGGCAGCAATCAGGTGTAGGGAAGGCAACGCCCCCTTTGCCCCCCCGTGGCTACGGGCCTGAACAGAATGGATATTTTTAAAACATTATCAATAATTTCCTATAAAAAAAAAATGTTTATTTTTAGCTCTTTATGTTTGCTAAATTTCTTATGTTTTAAACATTTTTTTCTTTTTATAATTCTAAAAATGATTTAGTTACTTTTATTTAAAAATAAAGGAACGAAAGAAATCGTTTATGTTCCTCTAAAAAGTGAACGAAATTTCAATACATTCCTAAACATAAAAAAAGAACTACGTTCCCGATAAGTTCCTAAAAATGGAACGAAATCAAAAGAATGAATTCCTTTGAACGCGTTCCTTCCAAGCACTGAGTAGGGCTTACTCGTCGATTTTTACCGTACTACAAAATATCGTACGATATTTTATCGTGAAGCGTTCCTTGCATATCGAACAATTTTTTACAGGTGAAGGTTTTTCATTTTCACTTTTACTTCGTCACATTCAGTCACCAAAATGAATATAACACACGTGTGGTTACCATGTAGGAGCATATTTACTGATCTACGTTATTTATTCAGAATTGGCATCACTACAGTAGGAAAAATAGTAAAAGAAGTATTTCAAAGCATCTGGTTAAAAAAATGTATACCTGCATTTTCAAAGGAAAATTGGGAATCTATTACTTCTGATTTGATGAAAAATATGCAAATTTTCCACATTGCTTGGGTGTAGTCCATGGCCAACCTAATCGTATAAATTGTCCAGCGAAATGTGGCTCGATGTATTATAATTACAAGGAATATTATTCGGTAGTATTAATGACAGCCGCAGACTCCAAATACCAGTTTACGTATGTCAATGTCGGGAGCTTTGGCAAAGAATGGGATACTTTAATTTTAAGTTTATGGAAATGATTTGAATCAAACACACTTCAACTACCAGATGAGAAATGTCTTTCAGGTATGGAAATCCCTAAAATACTGTATTCTTTTATTGGAGACGAAGCGTTCAGACTACATGAACATTTGTTACGACCAAATGGGAGAACACACCTAACACTGATGAAGAATATATTTAGTTATCGATTAAGCAAAGTGCGTCGTTACATTGAGTGTGCTTTTGGTGTTCTCAGTAAAAAATGGTGTATTTTCCATCGACCTATTAACGTAGACCATATTTTTGCTGTCGACATTATAAAAGCTTGTGTTGTTTTTCATAACTTTGACCGTGACAGAAATGGGTTATGGCTGAGGATATTACAACAATAATCGGACTAGACGATTTAACAAGAGAAGTCTCCGTACGAGGTGGCCTAAGAGCAATAGTGTTAAAAACATAATCGGTCAATATTTTTGAACAAATGTTATTATGTTCATTGTTATAGCTATTCCATGGCAAATGTCTAAAATAGAAGTTATGCAGTCGACCAATAAAAGATATTTTTTTTATAATAATTTTGAAATTATTAAATATATATTAAGATAAATAAATAATACTATATTATATTAATTATATTAATAAAAAAATATAATAAAAACCCACCAAATTCTTGTTTTTTTTTTTGTTCTCCATCTCTTCATGCTCCTTATTTAAATCACTGCACACCTCGTCCTATGCATTTTTGGTAGCGTTTCTATCTTTGTAAATATCTAAAATTTTGTCCTATAGTACTGTGTACTCATGTGTACTAATGAAATTAAAATTTCACTGTCGATATTTTCCGTCATATTTTAACACTGTAAACATAAAATAAATAACGGAATAACACCAGAGAAATTATTTTAATTAAACTATAATATAATTTAACTGAAAAATTGATAATAGTGATAACCAGGGCTCGGGTCTTAAAGCATTTGCTTATTTTCATGGATTGACTTAAAATGTAGCAGAGTGCTATGGAAGTGTATGTCATGTTAAAATACGTTCAATTATGAAATTTGAAAGTGCTTTTTTTGCCTTTTTACAGCGATTTTTTAAAAAATATTTATTTCCTGCTTTTCTGATTATTTTTGACCAATTGCTTTTCGACCAAATTTTCTACTTTTTATGGTTATTTCCTACAAAGTATTTTTTTATAGAATTAAAACTAAAAATAATTCTTATCTTATCTACGTTGTCGCAAGGTTCGTCGCTGTCCGCGGCATCATTACAGGGTTAACAAAACTATTTAAACGCTAAAAATAGAAATAGATTTTGGGGAAAAAAATAAGTGTAATTGAGTTCATGTTTATCATTTCATCACTAATTTCTCGGTAAATAATATTATTTGACCGTCATGGTATATTGGCGTGATAAATACAAATGTTTTGATTTCAGAGTTCAGTAGTCGATTGTCGTTTACATTCGTCGTGTTGCTTTCGTTGCCAAATTTCTTTCGTCATCGTTTATATCCAAGTATTTAAATTAATTTAGAATAGGAAAAGAAAATTCGTGGAAAACCAGTTCTAACTAAACATTTTTGGAATTGTCTATTGTAACTTAATTTGTAAGTTTCTTCTAATTACAATCGGGTTAATAAACAAAAAATTCGATTAAAATCCTACTGTGTAGTGAACCTTTTATTTTAAATTGGTGTTAACACTCGTTCAATTTTTTTCGACTTGCTACCGATGCACTTGCGAGTGTTTATTAAAATATTATGATCATCCTTATTATTATTTATTTTTATTTATAACTGATTATTATTGTTTATTTACTATAAAACATTGCTGTTATAATATAGATACGATTCATGGATGATTCATCCGAGACGTTTCGATGATACTTTTACAGCTGTATAATATTCTGAAATGTACGAAAAATGCCTATACTAAGCGCCTGGTTACATTTCATTATGTGCGTCCGTGGCGCTGTTTCATATTAAATAATAACATTATGTAACCAAAAGCGGTGTTGTGCGGTCGCAGACCGGTGCACCGTGTAGGCCGTATTCACGTTAAGACCGTCCATTATAGTGTTTAATTGTTTTAGCCCCACGAAAATTCAACTTGCATAATTAAAATATATTTATTCGTTTACTTGTACAGCTCATTGAATTTCTATGCGATCGAATTATGACAACTTGCTCGTTCGCTGACTATTTGCATATTATTTCCGATGGAAAATGAAATTAAAAATAATTTAAATTTGTTACGAAATCCATTAAGTTTTTGTATTGATAAAATAAGTGTATTTATTTTAAGTAACATTTGAGAGCAACAATAAATAGAGTTTTAAAAATAAAAAAATAAGTCCCATATACTAGTAATATACATACTTATATAATTATATGTATGCAAAAAAGTTAAATTGTGTGTAATATAATTATTTTAATGATTCCTATTTTATTATATTACATAGTATTTTCATTTGTGAATTTGTAATAAAGATGAATTGTATTTTAATAAAAAATAAAATAAATAATTTTTAACGAAATATAAAATAACGAATTTCAATTAATTCAAACAAATATTTATAGATATTTTAGTAACATAATATGTTAGTAGAAAGTATATTATACT